GAATAATTGAATTTTACAACGGATTGTAGCTTACACATATCCGATGTTGAGTTTTTCAGTGACATTTCCGAATTGTCTGACAACTTTACGTTCTTTAGCGAGGCACATGGAGCCACAAGCTTGTTAGACCATGTTGTCTTATCTCATGGTGCGCATGTTTGCCTTAGTAATTTCAATATTGATTATAACTCATTGAGTTCTGATCACTTTCCTATGCATTTCAATTATGAAATTCCTAATCTCAGAGGCAGAGCAAAGAATGTTCCTGTAAATAGCTTAAATAATGAAGATATTAATTTTTCGGTTAATTGGAATAAAATAAACAGGAATTCATTAAATAATTACACGTTTACTACCGATGAAATGTTATCCAATGTATGTATTTGCCACAGTATGGTTTCTTGCAGCGATTTTAATTGTAAAAATCCTAACCATTTAAATGCAATTGATCAATTATATCATGAAATTATTAATTGTTTAAAGGAAGCCTCAAATGAGTGTTTCCATTCTAAGGCCAAGGGTAGCAACGTTAATATTGTTCCGGGATGGAACGAGCATGTTGCGGACTTGCATCATATTGCAAGGGATGCTTTTCTGCTATGGAGAACCAATGGTAAACCAAGATTTGGTCCACTTTTTAAATGTATGAAAAATACAAGGTCTAGATTTAAATTAGCGTTGAGGCTTTGCAAGTCAAATGAAGAACAATTTCGAGCAGATTCTACATAGCAGGTCGAGGTCCATGAAAAGTGGTATATAAAGATGTGGGTTACCCACATCTTTATATTTACACAGGTAATTAAAATTGTTTATTCACAGATTAATCTCACTGATAAACAATTCTACTATATTTGGCTGGTGCATATGAACTTCTATTTAGAGACATAATTTCACATATTACATATTATTAAACGTTGACTAGCGCCTCATAACGACTTTTGAATGATAAAAATCGGCTCGGTATAACACATTTTACCGAGTACGAAATTTAAGTTAGTGGAACATACTGCTGTTACATCTTCTAATTTTACCCCGCCGTTGTATTTAGGTACACGCTAAAATGAGCCAACAAATTGGATAGCTGCAGAGTTCCGCATGAGTGATTCAGCTCCCATCTTTACCACATCTTTATATGTCTGAGTCATAGGCGTAGATCCCGGGGGGGGGGGATGGAGGGGATATATCCCCCCAATATTTGACAAGGGGGGATGGTCCATTGAATCATCCCCCCCCCCCAATATTTTGACTATGTATGGGATAAAATGGAGCTTTACACACTT